GTGCGACATGGATTTGGGCCCGACGCCCCACTACGTGTGAGCCCGAATTGGAGCTCGACAGTGGCTGAAGTAATGACTCGACTCCAGGTTTGACCGAACGCTCGACGCCCTCTTGCAAAAGATGATGCCCGAGCTTGAAGCCTTGGACGCTGCCCTCGAAGCTGTTTTTTATGCAGAGCACGGTACACTTGACGCTCTCGATCGCGCTGCAACAAGTACCAGGGTTCTCCAAGCAGGAGAGTCCCCGGCGCTCGAGTTCTCCGTCCACGTTGGGCATGGCGATACACGTTGTGCCCGATACAGAGTGCAAACATTGTAGCTTTGTGAACGTCGTCGATTCAGTCGACTTGCGCTAGAGCGGACGAACGCGATCAGTTACCAGGGCTCCACCATGCGCAGCTCAAGCTTCCCGGCCACGCAACGGTCCCTGCTCGGCTCCTTTCGACACGAGTACGAAACATGACGTAGGTCGCCGACGTTCTAAAGCTCATTCGAGACCAGACGCACGAAGAAGGGCGGATTGAACTCGTGTGCCACCGCGCCGTCCTGTCGCCAGACGCCATGTTGACGTCGGTTAAGCGAAAATTGTGGCCCGAGTCGTCCAGAATGGTCTGGCGCTACCGCAAAGACCGCAAAGAAGCCACCGACCACAACTCTTGATATGGATGTCCCTCCGCTAATGCCAGCCACCACTTTTTCTATTCGCATGCAGGGCAACATGTGGTCGATATGGAGGAAACAGTCGGACGACATATGTGTACTGGAAACAATTCATGCAGGGGCACCAGTTCTGATCCGCCACCTGGGCGTTGGCGACGTCTTTCACGTAGCGCTTGCTGATGTAGCCTCTGCAGCTGAGCTCCGACTACCCGACGCCATCTTACGCAAGTGCGCCGACTTCGTCTACCAAGTGATGTTCCGCGCGGTCAAATTCCGCGCTCATTTGCACTGGCTCCTTACAGCCGACCAAGGGTGCCTCTTCTGCTCTGAGCAAGAGTCGTGCTGCCACTTGGACAATGGCCCTCAAGGCGGCGCTTGTCGCTCAACTGCACTTGCACGACAGCTTCGCTTAAGAGCCCGAGCAGCCTGCTCTACGTCGGCTTCTCCAGCTCCTCGCCCAGCATGACTGTTCGCGCCAGCACCTTGTCCCGTGCATCGCGCTCCCGCCTCCACCTGCCTAGATCAAGTTCCTCAACCAAGTGTACAGAGCAAACAGAGTATGGTAATTTACTCAGCGTAAATTT